CCATCACTTGATGGGGAATATCTAAATTCAAATTTTTAATATGTGCAACCACCTTTTCCCTAAATCGTGCTGCATAAGGTACTGTGCCTTGCAACGCCTTACTTGTGTTTGTGTATTGTATCTATTTTATTAGTTACAGATTTTATATGCTTAAATAAATACAGCCAGTTACGGTTTATCTATATGTGTGCATGAGCATAGAAGTACAAAGAGATATATATATGTATATAAAGAAAGAGGGGTGGTTTTGTGTCTGTGCATAGCAAGTATAATCATATGGTCACTTACACCAAAGTCACAATTAGTGTTTATTTCTGTAATCAGTTCTCTTTTCTTCTGCCAAGGTGAAGTCAAATATAAAACATCTCCTTTTTGAATTAAGAAGTAACTGTGTAAATTCAGAAGATCCCTTGTTATTTGCAGTAAGACATCTTCAGTAAATGGCACTTAGAAACAAGTTTATTCGTTTCGCTGAGAATTTTTGGCTAAATTTCCAATTGATTTTATTCCTTATTAACGAAGTATTAATTCATGTTTTAAAATACAAGTGAAAAATAAAATAGATCTGTAAGAAAGCTGAAGCATGGATTGTATGATGTTATAAATATAGCTGCAGAAAACTCTACCACTAAGATAAAAGTATATTGAAATACTTTTACAGCTAAAAACTGAGAGATGGAAGAACTCCTGTAGTAAACAAGCACTACAAGTGGCTTTTGCAGACATTTTAACCATTCCAAAAAACCTGAGCTTGAATCAGTAAAATGGCTAAGATAGTGAAACTCCATTCCAGAGCAATAGAATCATGAGTTTTTGGATCTAGCCTTGCTCAGAGCTCATCAGCTAAGGGCACAGTGTAGCAAGTGTGTGCTTACTCACTTGTGGGTTAGATCCTTAGTGACAGAACCAAGATAAGAGTTATGTTACTAACCTTTACTCCTGTGTTCAAGCCACTGCTTCCCATTACATTTCATAGGGTTGGAATCTTGATCCGCCAAAATCTGGTTTCTTTCAAATTCAGTAGGAGGATTAAGGCCAAGCAGTCTCCATCAGATTTTGTGTGGAGTCTGTCTAGCCATATGGGTGTCTCTAGGCTTCTAGGGTATTCTAACTTTATATGACTTGTGACATTAATCTCTGAAACAGTCGTAGACTTGGAGTCAAGGAACTTTTTCAACTTATGTATTGCAGCAATCAGTGAACATAATCTTTTAATTTTGGGACCACAGAAAATACAGGAAGTTTTTTCCAGACCAGTACTTCTGTATGTCTGAGGCCTGCTTGGCCATAAAGTGCATAAAACTGCAAATAAATCATGAAGGTACTTCTGCTTTGCTGAAGAAAAGTTACTTCTCAGTCAATAAGTGCAAACTAAATTGCTTAAGATATGCTGATACACTTTATTGCTGTCTTAGGGATTAGCAGTCAAGTGGTGTTCGTGATTGAATATTAGAATCATAGAATGGTTAGAGTTGGAAAAGACCTTTAAAGGTCATCTAGGCCAACCCCCCTGCAATGAGTACGCACATCTTCAACTAGATGAGGTTGCTTGAAGCCCTGTCCCACCTGGCCTTGAACACTTCCAGGGAGGGGCATCTACCACCTCTCTGGGCAACCTGTTCCAGTGTTTCAGCACTCGCAGATTAAAAAATTTCTTCCATATATCTAGTCTGAATCTGCCCTCTTTTAGGGTGAAATCGTTGCCCCCTTGTTCTATCGCAACAAGCCCTGCTAAAAAGTTTGTCCCCGTCTTTCTTATAAGCCCTCTCTAAGTACTGAAAGGCCACAATAAGGTCTTTCCAAGCCTTCTCTCTCCAGATTTTGATCCACCAGTACACCAAAGTCCTTGTTGGCAGAGCTGCTCTCAGTTCCTTCATCCCCCAGCCTGTATTGATACCACGGTTGTCCTGGCCCATGTGCAGAACCCTGCACTTGGCCTTGTTGAACCTCCTGAGTTTCACATGAGCCCACTTCATGAACTTATCTAGATCCCTCTAGATGGCATCCTGTCCCTCAGGCATGTCAACCTCATCACTCAACTTCGTGTCATCTGCAAACTTGCTGAGGGTGCAGGCAGGTTTTTGGGTTTTCTTTTTTTCTCATAGTACTTCTTGGAGCTAAGTCTCCTAGACACCTCATTGCCTACATTTTGGCAATGTTACTCATAGAAAAAGAATATGCTCTGTAATTCATCTCTTCAGAAGCATTCAATGCATAATTTATTGTGTCCATGCATGGATACACACACACATATACACATAGTTATTTCTTTGCTCAGTATTGAATATGGAACAGATGGTTGAGACAGTTATGACCGTTGTGCTTAGCTGTAGGATAGTACAAGCCTATTGGTAAAGTTGTTTAACAGCTGTTATCTTTCAAGATGTTCCAATTTCAATCAGAAATAGCTACTGAGAGTTATGTATTTAGGAGATTGCAATCATTATAGAAAAATAATAAGTCTAAGATACTTCAGATAAAAGGTTATAAGCTGTTGTTTACATATAAACTAATGCTAGCCAGTATTTGAAAAGTTATGTCTTTCATTTACTATAAAATGTAGTTTACTTTCAAAAGCTATAAAAAAAAATCACTGGTAGTTGGAAATTCAGTTCATGTTGTGAAGTCTTAGAAGAAATTTCTGCAAGGTGGAATCCAGCTTGGTACTTATGCAATTTCACTGAAGCTTTCTTCACAAACTGTGGAAATAAAAGGTTAGCATTTTAAAGAATGAGCTACTCTTCTGTTTTCAAAATATGAAATACAGGGAGGAAGTATTTTGCGGGTTTGTATGCGACATTGGCTTCCATTTCAGGAAGAGAAAAAAAAGTTGCGCGTTAATTGTTTTCCATTTGTGCATTTTGGCCCTTCAAAATGGTGGTACGTAGGCAGGGGAGGAGATTACACCTGCTCTGGGATACCTCTTTGTGTTGAGGGAGGGAGGACAGCTTCCAGACTGCAGGAAGTGCCAAGAAGAGGAAGAAGTAGAGGGGGAACTGCAGCATGGCAGCGTGACCAGGAGAGCAGTGAGACAAGCTTGGAGCCCACAGAGCTATGCCTCTGTGGAGACAGAAACTTTCCAGGGACAGGAGGCAATTTACTGCATATAAAGGCCTGTGCTTCAACGATGCAGGGGCCAGGTACAGATGAATTTGTAGTCCCTTATTTTGATTCTGCTCTACCTTATCAATTTGACATTTTCCTGTTTACAAAAAGTCTTAATTCTATTCCAGTAAATCTGGCTTGTGAATGTAGCCTGGCTTTGCTATCTGTCAGTTCTTGTGGCTTCCCCTTTAGCATGCAGGCTTTTTGGATTACCTTTCTCATCAACAGGACTTGGTAAAGTGAACCTAGGTATAAAAAATACAGAAAGTGCGGAATCTACAAGGAGCAAGTATCAAAGTCTTGTATTGACCCAGTACTGATCATAGAGAGAGCTTGAAAAAACATCTTAGTATTAGCCTGTCTAGGAATTAGGACTTTCTGTCTTTTGGAAAAAAACCTTTCCAGTTGGAAAAATACATCTTTTATTGACACATATGTTGTTCCTGCTATCCAACTTCTGTAAGAAATACTGCAGTTGTAATGCACCTTCCTTACCATACTATCCCCAATTTATATAGAAGCAATGGAGTTACTTGGGTTAGAAATGTCTCTTTATTCTTCCGCTATGATTTTCTTCTCAGGATAGAAAAGTAAAAGTCTTATGTAAAAGCTGTAAATCTGGTTTCCTGTAGCTTCTGCCACGCTGTTGAAAATTAAGACTTACTGCTGTAGTTGACTGTTTTAATGCTTTTACAATGGCAGTCTTCTTTCGTAGTGCTTTTCACAAGCTCTGTATTTGTGCCTACATAGATATGAAAATGAAGTCCAAAAGAAGTCATCACTACACAATTCCAAGTCTTTGCTTAAAAAAGGCTGTGTCAGTGATGGTATTACAGCTGAGTAGTGAGGTACATAAAACAGCTGCAGGGAGATGCTTGCATGCCATGTTCCTGCATGGTAATAATTATTGCTATTCATTGAATTTGATGAATACTTAATGGAACCTAATTTATTGGGAAAAAAGGGTGGGAAGTACAGATTCTAACACCAGAAAAAATTGAAGCAGTATTTATCGTTCTGTTCCACTGGTAACCATTAGACTAGCACAAATGGGCATGAGCTGAAATTCAAGGAATTCCTGTTAAACATACAAAAAAGCTTTTTTTGCATTGAAGGAGAACAAGCAGTGGTTGCCCTGAGAGGTTGTGGAGTCTCCATCTTTTGGTATTCAAACCTGGCTGAACAGTGCTTTTGGCAACCTGTTCTAGGCCTTCTGTGAGCAGGGGAAGTGTGGTGGCTAATCTTCAGATGTCCCTTCCAATCTGTGATTCTATTAAGTCAGGTATTTCATTTGATATTGTCACAATCACTTATAAATTTTGGGTTCTTCCTTCTCTTGTTACTTGATTTGATTTTTTTCTGGTAAAATTTGTGAAGTGAGATGAATGTAATAAGTGAGACAAAGGTAATAATGTATGCTTACATACATATCATGTCTTTGTCACTCACAGCTACTACAGTAAGAACTACATTGCCTGTCCATCTAAGAAATCTAGGATGCTAAGATTTATTACTTCAGTAAACAGAATTTTATGACACATGTAATATTTATTTGGCAGTGCCTCTGTTTCAAATTCTCTTTGTATGGTTCTCGTGGTTAAATATTAAAATGCTAAATTAAAAATACAAATGAAGGTTCTTTGTTTTATTATTTATGTCCTTGAGATATTTCTAATGGGGTCTTAAAATACTTTCTTTTGTTGTCTCTGCTAATGAAAATATGAATCTTCTTAGGTTGTAATTGATTTTTAAGCCACGTTCCTTGCATCAGTGAGTCAGTACATTCCCATTGTTTATATCAGAGATTTACTGCCCATTAGCTTTGATTCTGTTTCTCCTGAGTGGCTTTACATTCCCAGAAGATTAAATTCTTGTAAATATTTTTCTCTTTGCAGTGAGGAGCTACGGAAAGAAGCACGACAGCTGAAACGTGAACTGCTGGAAGCAAAGCAGAAAAAAGAAGAAAGAGCTTTAAAGCCCAAAGAAAAGGAAGGTAAGAGTGTATTATAGCAGATGTTGTGTAGATCTCCAGTTAACATTACAGCTTTAAAGTTTTTTAGTAGTTTTATGTTTCATGTAGACACTTTATTGCTGAAATGTAATTTTTTTTTTCCCAAGAATATTAGTTTTCCTTAAGAATGTTAGTAATGTAAGGATGCCAGTATATCGATAACTTATACCAGTAGTATCCATTCTTTCAAACAAGGTAGTATTTGTCTTTCCAAACGTTTTTTAGATACACCTATGTAGTTGGGCAAGCTTCTGGATTTAAAATATCATGGCATATGATTGAATTCTTTGGTGGGGACATATCTGTTCTGACCTCTGACTTGGAAAGTCATCTTGGCATTCTGACTTGGAAAGGTACTTCAATGCAGATGGTTAACTTTGAACTCAAAGCTACTGACTTCAGACTTTTTATGCATCATATGACACCAGTGAAACTCAGATGCAGCAAGTCGGTTCCATGTTTATTTTCCATAAACCATAGCAAAATGGGATCTTCAGATGCCCACTTCATTGTCAGATAAATATACTTTATCTATACTTTATTTCTTTCTAAATGTGCATACATTGCTAAGTTTATAATAGTATGTAAGGTTTGTGTTGTAGTGCTGAACTGAAGGGTAAAAAACAGGCTGGTTTTTAGGCACTCTGGAGTTGCTAGACATGGTTTTGGAGTGGGTTCTTGGTCCAGTTCTCAATACTGTAAGAAATCTGGAAGAAAATATAAAATTATTCAGAAAAATTTCCACGCAACACACAATTTAGAAGAGCGGTAGAAAGTTTAACATTAACATCAACGTTTTATCAAAAACTTATGGAAACTCTTGATTAACAGGTAAGCTTAGTCAGCAACCAGTTTGGCAAAATAAAAAATACAGTATCTTGAATTTGTATACAAAATCTAGCACCAAATTTTGCAAAGTAGTGACTCTGAAAAAGTTCTAGGAATCATACTCAATCACTGAATGAATATAAGCTCTCATTGGCAAGATAATGAATGCTTTCACTGGTCACATAAAAAAAACCTTGCAAGTAGAAGTGTAGAAAAGGTAAATATGTCTTATGTACATATATGATAAATTATATTGAATAGTGCCATGTATGGCAGTTGTAATACTATCGCTTAAACATTATCCCTGTTCTGGTGCCAGTTAAGTCAGAAGACTTACTGCAGAGCAATTTGAGTAGATCCACCTTTACAGTGACTGATTAAAGTAATACTTGGGCAATACTCATAGTTACTGCTATGGTACAGCTTTGAATTACACTTTTTATTCAAGGAAGGGGAGTTTATATAATAGGGTTGTTGGATTTTTTGCTTTCTTTGAAATAAATAGCAGGTAGGAGATAAACCTGTTGAAAATCTGTAGGTAACAGCTAATGGTGAAAATAATCTTGAATAATCTTGGTTTTCCTTTTTTGTCATTACTGTCAGAGTACAGGAAGTGGTCTGTTCCAGTACCTGCTGAGAAAATATGGCAGGAAAGAACCTATTCAACATGTTCTTGAAGTACCTAACTAAAATTTCTGAAAATAAACATGTTCTAAAATTTAAGACAAAATTTAAAAGACGTTAAATGAGATGCAAGTAGCAAGGGGCAAAATGATTATTGAAAATATAGTAACAGGAGATGAATGAACAAGAAGCGAGTTGGTTGTCTTTGGCTAAACAAAGAGGAAATAAGCTTGAATGCTTGTTTTCACTCTGTCTTTAGCATAGCGGTCAACTTTGATCATATGGTTACATATGATCAGTGACATAGAATGAAGCATTCAGGTACAGAACAAGCAATTAGAGATGACTTAGATAAATTAGGTGCATTAAAATCATTTGAACTTGATGACATTCACTGAAGCATATTAGGGAGTTGGATAAAACAGTCACAGAGACATTAACATTAACAAAATGCTTTTAAGAGAGTTGTTTGTAATCAATCTGGAAAGCAGGAGTCCTGGGAATCTGTTTATTAGTGATCTGGAGAAGACAACAGATTACCTTTATTAAATTTGCAGACTGAAAAAATATATGAGACAGGGAAGGGGAAAAAATTTATATGCTAATGTTGCATTTTCATGTGCAGTTGTTAAAATGAAGAGCTGAGTGGCTCTTCGCTTCCACATGTCCATGTTGGAGCTTTTACTGATCTGATTCAGTTTAAATTGGAAGAAGTGTTCTGTTTTTTTCTTTGGTAGGATAGTTTTGTGCTGGGTTGGTATTCAGTTCATAGCTGGGTATATAATCAACACTTACTTTTTTCTTCACCCATGCTTTAATAGTTTTTCTGAATCCATATCTAGCTGTCAGTTTGGAAATTTTTTCAGAGCCATCAGCAAGCAAAAAAGAACAAGGTAGAGATTCAATCTTAAGTAAATTTTTTTTTAACCTGTCTTTAAAAGTTCAGGGGTCTTTGCTAATTTATCAGGACACCAGCTCACTTGCCAGTATTGCCAAAATTCAGATGTAGAGGGAGGAACTGAGCTTTTAAATAAAACAGATTTTTAAATGTATGGTAAGTGTCTTTTGCAGCATTTTATAGATTGCATTGTATACGTAAGTTTCTATTGCTGTCTTTAGTAAGTAGTTTTTTGCTGTGGTTTAACCTCAGCCAGCAACCAGGACCACACAGCCACTCGCTCAGTTTCCCCCTCTTGGTGGGATGGAGGAAAAAATCAGAAGAGTAAAAGTGAGAAAATTTGTGTGTTGTGATACAGTTTAATAAGTAAAGCAAAAGCCACTCATGCAAGCATTAAAGATGGAAACTTACCGTCTTTAAATACTTAAGATTCAACTCTTCCATCCCCCTCCCTACCTAAATTAGACATATCTTAAAGTATCTGCTAATGAATTAGTTCATCTAGTCTTCTGCTAGTTAGTATCCAATTCTGCAGTATCTTTTTTGGTGGTACAATACTTAGAACCAAGTGCAATAATACAACTCTGCTTTTACAGTTAAAGCCTTTGTAGCAACAACCACAGCCACATTACAATGTAAATTAATTTTTTTTCTAGTACAAAATTGAAATATATGTATTTCATTATATGCAAACTTTGGTTTGAATTTAAAGAGATCTAATAGCAGTAAAACAGCGTTATACCTGAGCAAGTAATTTTGCCCTAGTGTTAAAATCATTTATTATGTCTCACTTATTTCACTTAGTCATTTTTTGTTTATTGGCCTGAATTTTCATCAGTGCTATAGAGCTGTCAACATGTAAGGCAGTCTGCTAAATTTGTAACAGTTTACCTATTCCATATTAGTTTACATACAAGAAATTGCATCTGTTTAAAACAGACTACTATCAGGAAATGAATGTGTATGTAGCAAGAGGTGTTTCCATTGTTCTCGGCCTGTCCTCCTGGGGAATGTGGGATGGAGAGTGAGTTGTGTCATGCTGTATCAGGTATGTCTATGAGGATGGTGCAGACACTTGCACAGTGTCTGCCTATGCTCTGTACTGGCTGCATTAGGAAAAAATGCTAGTTCAAGAGGCTATGTAAGTGCATTAATATGATTCTGTGCTTGATTAATAAACAGTGGATCTCAGCCAAAACTTGCAACTGCACTTGGAGAAACTTACTGAAGACCACAAAACTGTGAGAAGAAGGCTTATGTCATACCGGACTTTCGCAAGATCAGGACTAATTCTGAGAGAACACTAATCAACAGGTGCTAGTGAGACACATCTATTTTATGTCCACTGGCAGATCTTTATTAGTACTGGTATCACACTTCAAATTATTGATGTCACACATTATGCCTACCTAGTTTTATTCTGTATTCAGAGATTAGAGTAATTAAGGAAGATTGGGGGGGGTGAAAATGTAAGTGTTTACATTGTTTCAAGAGGACAGAAAAAAACCCTAATTCCCTCTGTACTTGTTTGATTATAACCAGCCTTCCAATTTGTGAATAAGATTGTTGACTATGCCAGACTGCTGTCAAGACCTTACTTTAAATAAGATGTTTTTCATTTATGTGACACTTGCTGTAGTGATGCCAGAAATTACATCAAACACTATAATTTGAGTGCTGAATTACTTCAGCATTTTGAAGTACTTAATCAAATATTTGAAAAAGATACACTTTTCAAAGTCCTATAGTGTAAACCCATGAATATACTTCAATGAAATTTGCTTTAGACAAGTACCATCTGCCCAATTGTTTAATTATATATTGGTTTTAAATAGTTAGTAGTATTTAAGAAGGACTATTTTAGATTTTTCTTGTTAGAACATTTTTGTAAACTGTCTGATAATCTGTGGATGGTGAAATTTAATTGTCACACATGAGAAAATAGAACAGCTACAAAATACTATGAGCAAAGAAACCCAACAACACTCAAGTATAAGAATTCTACTCAAGCATTATTTTCTGCTTTAATTGTGGTATAGGAATCAAATGATTGAAGTGTTTTGAAAACTCCCAAAATCTAGGAAGGATGCCAATTTAAGATTGTGTTTTCCTTCTGTTTTATTGTTAAGTTTGGGCAATGTCAGTGGCACTTAAAGATTTAAGTCCTGTCTTACATGGAAAGATGCTTTCTTGAACTCTGAGACTAACAAAATTTTATACCCTTGAGAACATCAAGAAAGCAACGAAATCTAAATTTTGAGGGTTTGTGAATTATGCAGCACAAATACAATAAGTATGAACTTTTTACAGTATATACAGTACAGCTCTATTGTATCAAAGCATGCATCTTGAATGTGTCACTTTTGCAAACCTTTATGTTTTCTTCCACTAATTACATTTTTTTCCTCATTTAACTTCTTAGAATAACCCAGCATCCTTATTCAGTCTCTTCCCTGCTAAAGTGAATGTTTTTTTCCTCTTGTCTCTCCGTCTACTAAAGAAACAAGTACAAAAACCTTACTGTAAGCTAGCTTTGTTTTTAGTAGTAATCTTAAGCATGTGGTCAAAATCAACTGACATTAGACAATTAACAGCTTTTTAGACTAGGACTATGAGCCTGAAAGCTACCAAA